AAGCAGCCGCAGGAGAGGTTATTGTGCTAGCGGACGATGATGTGTACTGGACCAAGAACCTTCTGCAACAAGTCCTCGGCGTTCTGGAATTGGAACCCGAAGTGGGTGGCGTCACCACGCAGGAAGAAGCGCATGGCCTAGACGCTCGAAGTCCTGAAACAATCACGTTCTGGGAAGCCCTCGAGGCTCGCCGCCTCAGCATGCGCAACATAGAAATTGCTGCCTCCAGCTGGCTGGACGGTAGTCAAACAGTTTTGACTGGACGGACTGCAGCCTATCGAGCGTGCATCTTGAAAGACCCGGAATATCTGTCTGCGTTCACAAACGAGTACTTTCTGTGGAAATACCGCATGCATTGCGGCGATGACCAGTTTACTACCCGCTGGCTATTGAACCACGGATGGAAAACCCGTATGCAGACAGGAGCTAAGATCTACTGCGAGGCTCTCAACGACAGTCGTCACGTGAAACAGACCCTACGATGGGCAAGGAATGGTAAGATCTCAAGTCTGAAGCGGTTTTTCGGATCAAAACGAATGTGGAAGCGGTTAGTTATCCCCTTATCTTCATTTGATAGTCATTCTTCAATAGTAACACAAGTAATAGATATCCATGGCTAGCTATTACCACATCTCGTACAGTATTATCCATGGTACTTCAGTTATGGCGTCTTTCGTTCGTGGTGTATATTTTATCTGACCCATGGCTGGTCATTGAGAGGCTTTTCAGCCGAAGGTAAGGAACCTGACCTGTGTGCGCGCCTATTGAGCCTTGCTAACCGTGTCAGGCTAACTTTCTGGATTGGCTTCTATGTACCACTGCTCGTTGAACATATTGCATACGGTGTGGTGCACAGGTGGTATTTCAGACATCTAGGAGCCCAGATACTGAAGGATCTCATACAGTACTATTTCGTTTCTGTCTATACGACCCTAACTTTGCATGCAGTAAGTTTCCACCCAAGTATTTATAAGCTAACGCCGGTATTGATAGATTATAGAACCACTGGGGATCCCGGGAAGTCTGATGTTTGGGAGCAGTTGTACGTGGGCTGTGAGGAAAGTGGGAGTGCTTTCGGCAACAATATCTAACTCGACACTAGGCAATCGTTTTCGCTGATAGAGCCCGTTCGATCTATCCCACCCTTGAAATCATTACATAGGTTCGATGAATCACAAGTTCCGAGTCTGTCAGAAGTGACAGAGATGTGGAGGTGATTGGACCCTTATGTCGAATGAGTAGAGTGTAGTGAATACGACATTCAATGCAAAGTGTCAAGTTACTCACCGAAAGCCAGAACTTGCCATCAAAAATTCAGCCCAGGGTATAAACAGCTCTCCTATGTCAACGGTGTTTGCTTGTTTTCATAGAATCCAACATACCATAATCATTCCTGAGTGTTCAGAGAAGAATATAATGTATTATAGACAGGTTTGATATCAGGTGGTTGTATACAAAAATAATTTATCAGCCTCCTATTCGACTTTTCCACTTTTCCTTATGACTATGTGAAAAAAGGCTTTGATAACTGAGGATTCTACATGACTATGATTACTACCATACAAAACCTTACAACTCAGGTGGATATAGTCATAAGTTGAAGCTGCCCTTTCAATGATTCTGCGTTCGTGTCCGCTCTGTATAATCTCGGTATAGAATGCAGAATAGACGGAAAGAATTTGAATTGAGAATAGAATCTCTTGACATACCAATATGATCCGAGAAGGAATGCCCAATGGAAGTTTAAAAAGAATGACGGTTATCCAATCACCAATGAAGTTCACGAAAGGGATCGGAACATAGAGGTAAAAACAGGTGTCCCAAGAGGCGATACACAGAAGTAATGTTTTGCTAAACTGCAAGATAGAATCTACGTGGAGAAGAGAGGAGATAAATTCCTTGCCTTAGCGAGCCCAAAACTTACAGTAAGTAGCCTACTAGGCAACAAGCTAACTCAATTCCCCGCAAACAAGACCACTCACGCCACTTTGTGATCTGTCGTTTCATGCATGCCTTAATCGGAAATGCCGGTGCGTCGACAGAGTAGCGGTGAACCGGCAAGGGAGGGAGAGGAGTCGATTTGGCATTTGTTGTTTGCCAAAGCATTGTCTAGTTATTAGGTTCTCTAGTGCTGTAGGTTACAGGATACAGGTCATCATGCGTTCACATTTGTCTATCTCATGGTCCTTTCATACCGTCAAAGGATAGGGATAGGCAGTGGTATTAATCATCACAAAGAATAGAAAAGAAAAGGCAGCTTCAGAGCAGAGGCAGTGTAAATGCTCAGAGATTGTAATAAGGATTTGGATGGTGTGAATATCGTGTAAGAAAGGCCCTGCAGCAAAGACATGTCTAAAGAAAGGCTCGGCAACATACTTTTACGCGTCGCAGATCGAGTGGAGTGGTGATTGGAAGAAGCTGCTAGTAAGTAAGCTCCCCATGCTTATCGAAATCGACAATCGTAGACATGTCTGCAAAAGTCTATCTTTCATATGCGTGCCTACGGTGCATATGATGTTTCAACTGCAGGCAAGGATTTGCGACTACCGGTGGCCACTTAGGGAATATGACGCGATATAGGGATATAGGGCCTCCCTTCACTCCATGTCATGCCTTTTTAAGAAGGTTCTCTGATGATAAAGCACGAGAAACCGATTTTAATTGAACGACTAACAACCCTACGAAGATTCGTAATGGGATCTAACAGTATGGAAATTTGGCCGAGCCAATGGCCACAGGGCAACTTTCAGAAGGTATGTATGATTGGGGCGGGCTACGTGGGTAAGTCAAGACCAGCAGTCGCGCTCATAGAAGTCCAAATATTCTTATTGCTCATTTACCTTTGGCTCAGGTGCATTGACAGCAATAGCTCTGGCTTCTAAGAACCCATCTGTGCATTTCAGTGTGGTTGACAAAGATGCCTCGTTGATTGCGGCTTGGAATTCAGATCACCTCCCCATACTTGAGCCAGGCCTCGAAGATATCTTATTCGAGGATAATCAATCCCAGGAGAAAGAGCTCTGTGTTTCTCCGCAGATTTGCCAAGGACAACCGAGGAGAAGGCTTGCTAATATAATTTTCTCCGCTGATATACGTGCACACATATCTGAGGCCAATATTATTTTTATTTGCGTTGATACTCCGTCAGAGCTCTCTGTAAGTCTCACATTATGAGTTTCAGAGACGATGTAGGAGGTTCTGATTGCCCAGTTTCCTGATAGCGATGAGATCAGAGGCCTCGACCTGAAGAATCTAGAGTCAGCCATCAAATCAATCGCGCAGCTTTCAACGGGTCACAAGGTTATAGTCCAGAAAAGTACTGCACCTAGTGGCATCTGTCAATGGATCAAGAAGACGGTGGGTGATGCTATCCTAAGCAGCGATTAAGTAACGATTATGAATCCAACTGACTAATTCACGATTAGCTGAAAGATGCGGCTCCATCAACAGCTTCATACGACATAATATCAAGCCCTGAGTTTCTAGCTCAAGGCACCGCTATGCAAGATCTCTTGAGCCCTAATCGGGTGGTCATTGGCTATGAACCAGCAGCAGACGGCGCCGTTCCCGAATCAGTGAAAGCCCTAATACGCTTATACACACCATGGGTGCCTCAGGAACGAATAGTCACGACCGACACATGGTCATCAGAGCTAGCCAAAATTGCTTCCAATGCACTTATTGCACAGCGAATCAGCAGCATAAACGCCCTAAGTGCTGTCTGCGAAGCGACTGGCGCAAGCGTCACCGAGCTCTCACGGATTGCTGGACTAGACCCACGAATCGGACCGCAGTGTCTGCGAGCCGGATTCGGATTCGGCGGTTCTTGCCTGCGCAAAGATGTCTGCTGCTTGATATATCTAGCTCGTGAGCTAGGACTCGATGATGTGGCTGAGTACTGGCGGGGAGTGATTCAAATCAATGACTCCCAATCCGCACGTATCACGAAACGGATAATGTCATTTTTGCCTCCTATTGTCCCAGGAACAGAAACGAAGGCAGCTATTCTTGGTTTCTCTTTCAAGAAAAACACAACAGACATTCGAAATACCACTGCGATTAAGCTGGTTCAACATTTGGTCGGCCATGGATTACGCGTCAATATCTTTGATCCGCACGTCCCGAGGCAACGCATTGAAAAGGCATTGATGTTACAGTGTGGGGCTGCTCATGTGAATACTGCTGTGGTAGAGAGCACTGAGGCAGCGTGTGAGGGATGCAGCATAATTGTGTTGCATACTGACTGGGATGAGTTTGTAGGGACCAGTGTGGATTGGAAGGACATTGTTGCTCAGATGCGAGAACCAAGGTTGTTCCTGGGACCTCCTGGGTCATTTGATGTACACAAGATGAAGCAGTATGGGCTTACTGTTCTGGAGGTGGGGAAGCCATAGACAAGGGAGAGTTGCCTTCGCATAGGCGTAAAGGAGAATTGAGGAGTGACTACCATTCTTCACGTTTCTCCTCTTCTCCATAGGCGTTACATGTTTATTGCACCATGGGAGGTATCGAAATTCATTTGGAGCTACAGCAGCTCCCTGCCTTCTAAAAACTGGGAAGTAAACCAAAGTCTCATTGTTCTAATCTGATAATTCATATTTTGAATAAATTGCTACCTAGTATCAATGGTTCAATGGACAGTGTTAGTGAAAATGTCCCACCAAAAAAAGAAATAAAAAAAAAAAAAAAAAAAAAAAAAAAAAAAAAAAAAAAAAAAAAAAAAAAAAAAAAAAAAAAAAAAAAAAAACGAAAATAAGATTGGGCGTATAGTAGCCTCATGCGAGTTCTAGGCCAATAGATTAAACGGAGTCAGAAGTGGATGGACCATTAGGCTGCTAATGCACATAAGCAGTCGCATTATAGAGCGGCTGCGACTAAAGCAAAGAGTTCGTATAGGGATCAGTACAGTTTATGAGAATTATGAACGGAAGAAGAAGAGCAAAATTAATATTCCATACACCTTGGTGGCAGTGACTCGAAATCTAAATGCGATACACTATTCAAGAATTGAGATCCGAGGGATTGCTATCTATCATTTCACCCTTTTGTACTTCCTCTTCAAACCCCTCCACTACTTCCATGAGATAGAGGAATCTGCAATACAAGGGAAATGTTTCTATAGTTGTTTGCAAACCCTCCTCTATAAGCTCACGAGCATCTTCGAGATCCTTCGTGTTACGCCCACGCTCATAGCGCATGAGCAAACATTCAGATAGCTCACGGAGATACATATGACTATAGGCTTCAGTGGGTAGCCTAAGTCCATTTGCCTCTTCAGCCACCTCAATTGCCTGACGTAAATATTCTGACTTTTCAGGATACTTTGAAGCAGTCGTCTTCAACCAAAAAGTCAATGTGTGAAGCGCATTAGGGTATCTTGGATTCTTCTTTGACATGCCATGTATAGCTCTCTGCGCACATTCCACAGCCCTGCGTAAGTCATCGTCTTGGGGCTGCTCCGCCCTTTGAAATCGGTATCCCAACCACATGGCCAAGGAGTGATAAAATAGCTGTTTGTCTGCTTTGCTCAGGTCAGGGGTATGAGTCAAGGCGTTCTCAGTATCTTCAATTGCCTGATCGAGGTCCTCGTCCCAGTGTGCCCAAATAGCGTGCTCATGCAATGCTCTAGCTCGGTCAATGCTGCCAATTGGTGTTACTTGCAGCGCTCTCTCGGCAATCTCTAAGCCAGTGTTCAAGTCTGAGCTTTCGTAATCATAATTATCTTGCTCGAGAATGTGTGCTCGGCTTAGGGTAATAAGCATCCTACCTAGCCTGGCATCTGCTTCTGGCGTTTGCTCGACAACGCTGGCGGTGATTTCTATCGCGCAAGTAAGATCTGCATGTGAGTTGAATTTAGCAGACCTTAAGATTAGGCCTTGGGACATGTTGTTGAGAGCCTCTGTCATGTTTGTACTCCCTAGCTGTACCATGTTCTGGAAAAGCCTCGCCTCCGCTTCAGACGTAAAGCCAGAGCAACAGAGCATTGGCAATACGACATCGAAGGATAATTTATAATATTTCTCTTGGAGTCTTGGGAGCATTTCAATAAGAGTTTCTGGACCTTTTCCCTCTTTAGTTCTTATTTCATGCAGATGAATAAGCCACTGGCAAAACGCATATTCCCCAAACGAAAACGTGTCCCAATACCATTGTTGATGCTCAAGCTGCTCATATAGAGGAAGATAGAAGAAGTCTTCAACAGAGATTATCTCCGGTCGTTGATTGATTGGGGCGGAAATATAGCGCATGCAACTGTTGAGTATGGTTTCATGGCAGGAAACGGTGGTGATCGATTGTAGCCAGGCGGGTCTTTTGTCCTTCTTCGATTTCACTTGGCTTTCTTGTTCTGATAGAAGATAGTCCTTAACGATTTGGTGAATAAAGTAGATACGGTCATTATATGTCACCAGCAAGAAATGAAATCGTTCCAACATGGTCGCTTTAAATAAGAAGTGGGTTGAACTCGTCTCCGCGCTCAAAGGCCTCGTCATCCATACCAACCTTCAAGGCAATCTCCATTTCCTGAACGGTCAAAGGTCTCTGTGCGGCCAAGACAATCTCCAACATAGCTTTCACTGCTTCACGATCTGCTTCATCTATTGCGTCCAGTATCTCGGTATACGCGTCAAAGACTGTCTCTGGAATATTCTCGAATTCTTTGACCCATGCCCTCAGCGATCTTGTCATACTCAGCTTCTTCTTATCCAAAACATCGAAAAGCAATTTGACAAATAGATATGTCCGATCTCCTTCAACGCGCTTTCTGAGCATTTCTCGGAGCTGTAAACAAACAGACTTATTTTCGATCTTCCGTTTCTGTATGAACCTCTCCAGACGTTGACTCGCAACACATTGAATATCCCTTGAAAGAAACTCCCGACATTGCGCATCTTGATCGAGGTCCAAAATAGAATCCATCACGGGGTGAAAGTCGTCAATGATGTCACTCAGTGGACGGGCAGTGCAGAAGAGCTTCAAAGCTGGGCTATGGAAACCGTGCAAGTGCTGAATGAACTTTTCCCTTGAGCCAGGCTCACTTTCATCCAAGGCGTCAAGCAGAACAACGATACTATCCGGTTCAGCTTTAACGAGTACCTTATGAAGAAGCTCCCATAGAAGACGAAAATTTGATCGTATGTCACCCTGGTCCTTGTTCTGAATATCATCCACCACGTGGACAGTCCAGTCCGGACGATTCTGGAACAATTGATACATAATGTGGCAGAGAGCGACATTCATGTTATTTTGCTGACCACCACGGTCCTTGAAGAAGAATGAACAAACCGCAGGTCCACCTGGTCTTGAAAGTGACTCATGAAGAGATTTGGTCAGCACTGACTTTCCAGTACCGGGGTTGGCCACCACAAGCAGAGAACGAGTTGATCCGAAATCCCATTCTTGATATATTCTGTGCTCACGGAAGCCTTCGGTTGTTCCACTTGAAGGATTGCTGATATCCTCATAGTAGGCTTGATACTGATCAATATCCAGATGGGCTTCGTCTAGCCTAAACTTTGCGACTAGCTTTGACTGTTGCCTCAACGCAAACTGCCTGTTGCGTTCTGATGCCAAGCCGGTCTTCATTTGAGCTGAAGTTGATTTGATGCCTTTGAGTGTGTCCAACACTTATGTTCTGAAATCGATTTCCATATACGTCTGCACCTCGCTCTCAGCTTCTTTGATCTTAGTCAGTCTATCCTCCGCGGATGAGCCCAGCCCCACGAAGGTCTTGGAAAGAGTTCTGAACTTGTGATGGCATTCTTGCAGAGTCAAGATCTGAAATTCAATGATGAGCCTGTATAGCTCTATGCTTGCCTCTTTGAGAGGGGCCTTGGACTGCCGGAACTGCTGGGGAGACTGCCATATTTCAGGCCTCAGAAGCTCGACCAAGTGCGCATACCATGGAAGCTTCGCGATAATATACAGGAGGCCATTATGGCTCGCATTAACTTGATCACTGTATCTGACAAGCTTTGTTCTCTCAGTCCTCATGCCTGAAGCGATGTCAATGATCCAGATTAACCTACCAGAGTCAATACTAAACAGACCCCTGTCCAGGCAATAGAGGCAGGTGGGTAAACAGCCAGCACGCTCGATATTCCATCCTTGGTCGAGTTGAACACTTTTGAGAAGGTATCGAATGCTTTGATATCTGCTGCATTATTGCTGCTTTCCTCCACCAATGCGTCCATCAATTTCTGGCGACTTTTCCCGTCTAGATCAGCAAGTTGACGCGGTAAGGGCATCTGATTGTTGTCGACGTCGCCGGAGTCAGGGTCCGTTGTCGCCGACGGGAGTTTTGAGCGGACTATTTTCTCATATTCAATCACGAGTTTCTCCAAGACCTTGTTATTGCGTATGCGACCGTATGCCTCTTCCCAGATCTCTTCTACATCTGGTATCTCCTGTACCTCAACAACGGGGGATATAGGATTTGTCTGCCCCTTTGACTCGATTTCACTCGGTTCATGTTCAGAGCTATGGCGATTACCTTGTGAGCTCCCCACGTCCTTTGTTATTTCGAAGGACTGATTAGACTCCTTGAGGGGAGTTGATGCTGATGCTTGAGAGGTGTCATTTCCTAGCATCCTTTGTGTTTGCTTTTGCCTTTCCCACTGAATCGCAATTTGAGACACGCGAGCCACTTGGGTTGACCCATTTGAGGCACTTTTCGGGAATGCAGACGATAAAGGCGAGGAAGAATGAGGGTACATTTGGGGAGGAAAGAGCCATCACCGCGAATTAAGCACAGGTGCGGTGCAATTTTTGCTTCTTTCAGCTAGCACTACGAACGATATTTCAGCGCGTATACCCTTGTCGATTTATGACGTGTTCCTGTTCGTGAATCTTTAGTGTGGTCTTCTGTGCGGCTGACTTGCATTCAACATGGCCAATCATGCATTTTCCACACCTTACTTCCAACCAGCCAGAGAGCACTCGGTCGCATACTACAGCTCAAGGCATTATGGCTGTTGGTCAGCTAGCTCACCACTCAAGTTGAGCACTCATCTTGAGCTCGAAATCCATCAAACATTGCCACGCTGCTTCGGGTAGGTGAGTAGACCGTCCTTTCTGGGTGATCACAACATCACGGTGGGTTATCAGGGCTATTCAATGACTTGAAAGATGTTACATGGTTTCGTTTTATTTCACCTCTTTTATTGCACAGGAAAAACGTTATTCACTATTCTTCATAGCAACCCTTTGTTTGAATGTGCGAATTTCATTGACCTCGCCCGACTTCATCTCTTACCCAGAGCTATCATGAAGATCATGAAGACGCGGGGTAGCCACAGCGCCAAATATTTGGGCCGCGAAGTGATACGTTTTCTGTCCGCTGATTGTGACCAATAATGGAGCTGATACGATTCAGCTTTTGTTGATCTTACCCCTGGTTGGTAACAATTTGCGCCCGATGCTGCACTAACGTCGAGGGCTGCCCTCCGCTCCGTTCAGCGCCGTCGGAGGCAGTGAACCTGCTAGTCATGCACCGATGCCAATCAATCTCGAAAGGCTAATACGACGCGGTAATATCGCAGGATTAAACCCAAACATGTTCTCAAGTTTGGTCTTCCATTTACCTACGCGTGGGCAGAATATGCATAACGCGAAACTTCACAAACTAAGTGAGCGGCAGGGCTAGGATACTATATATTGGACCTGTTCACGCCTTGAGTCACGAGCCAGCCCTTCGGTCCGCAATTATCTCATGCGTTATGTACTGTCTATAAAAAGGGTCCTTGGTGACTAGATGAAGATCCAGGACCGCGTTTATGGGGTACCACATGCTCAGATGAAAGCCACGATAATTTCGATTGGTTCCATCATTCTGGCTCATGCAGTCTTTTATCAGAGCCTGTGGCTTGTGTTCGGTCTTGCAAAAGATAAGTGCCAATAAATCAGGATGGTGGTGGCTTTGACCGGGAGGTACACAGAGACACCCAGCCATGGCATAGATTGATACTCAGGGATAGAGGGTGCCACTAGGCCCAAACATCATACTATGATTGGCCCCTCGTGACCTCGTCTATGTCAACGTCTATTCTATGTTCTCTCCCGTAATTGTACCTGCATTTTTGGTAGACTTTTGTATCTTTTTATTTATTCACATGTACCCGACAACAGCGAGATCATAATCTTGCACAAAAACCCCAATGTAATGAAGTGACGCCATTGTCAAAATAATGCTAGGCACTTCTAAGCCCCCTCAAAGAAGCCGAATATGCTCATTCACATCCATCAAAACATCCTCAAAGCTCGTATAATGACCCGCCCAGCACGGATGAATAATTCCCTTCAACTGCACATCCGTAAGATCCGGAAACTCCTTTCTCTGAAATCGCTCCTCGATTTGCTTGTCTGTCATTCCTGGATAAGGATACTGATTGGTTACCAGATAATAAATAGCCGAGCCGAAATCCGAAATATCCTTCCTCACAGCCTGTGGCGTAGCGTCGGTTGAACGAGTGAAATCACCGACCTTCACATCCAGTAACTCGTCCACATAAAAGCTCACACAATCAACATCTCCATGAGCTATCCCGTTTTCGTGAATGAACTGCAATGCCTCCGCTGCTTGCTTCGCCCAGCGGAGAATCGCAGGGATTGGGATCGGAAGATCCAACCCATATGAATATTTCCGCAATGTACCGTTCTTTGCGTATTCCAGGAGAATTCCGTGCTCAGTAGAGCCGTAGTATTTCAAGAGAGATGATGGTCGTGGGAGTGGTGAGCGCTCTAAGCGCTCATAAATATCCTTCTCGTGAGCGCATTCAGCCCCTCTCTCGTCTGTGTTGTATGGGAATTTTATGACAAGCTTGGTTTTGGGGTCTAGAGCTGCTATTCCGCTTTTCCCGACCCCGATCATATCGTCTGCGTCGATACCGGGTGGGAATTGTAGGCCTCCCATTGTTACTTGTTCAGGGGTTGGATATGCAACGTTGACTTGCTGTCGCTGGGTATTGGGGTGATATTCCCGGTGGGTGGAGAAGCTGCGGGTATTGATCTGGCTAACCTTGGCGGTGGAGTTTATGAAGGTCAAGGACAAGAGGAAGATCCGTGACGGCAATCTGACAAATTATGATGAAGGGGAAAAGATGAAACACAAGGAGTCAATGGAAGTCATATTCGACAGCGAAGGAGATAATAAATACATCGGAAAACCACTGGAAGTGGCGAAAAGCAAGATGTTTCAGATATAGAAATCCCCAGCCACGGGGCGCAGCTGAGATCGTTAGAGCGATGATCATGTTTGCCCCACAGACGCTAATGACATCAGTAATGACTCACAAATCGAGAAATTTTCTAGAATGTTTCTAATGTGGATAATTCTTCAGGCAGACAAGATAATATCGAGGAGGATAGCATGTCTCAAATTCACTCTTTGTGCGTGCAACCATGTGGTGGAACGGAAAAGTTATCCGAATACTTTCATCACCTGTCTCCAGAATGGCAAACCCCAGTCTTGATTACTAACCGGTAGCAGTCGTACTATATCCTAAGCTTTAATATAGATATTGAGCAGTATCAGGCTTATTCGTGAGCCAAGTCTGTTCCAGTAACCCTTTATTCACAGCCATGGCAGAGATGCTGGAGGTGATTAATATATCAAGCATGCCGTGGTGTGGGTTACCCAGCGAACGTTATAGATTGGAAGTGTTTTATTTGTAATATATCGAATACTATGCTGGCGACTCGCTGTATTGGTACCAGCATGATCCAAGGGACATCCTTCTAAGTTGTCTCTGCACCTTACACCCCAAGGGGCGGTGATTAGCACGGCTGTCCCACCGTAGTTTGAAACCGCACGGCTGCAACATCCATGTTCTCCAGTAGCTCTGGACACTTTGCTATGAACTCCGATGTCAGACCCCATCAAGTTTCCTTGGTGAAAACATCAAGAAATTCCTGACATATTTGCAAGTCATCACGCTCATGACGCACAAGAATTCCCTGCCCCCAAGGCCACCGCACTTTCATGCAGCAGCTCAAATACCCCGTCAAGTCTGAATAATTATATCTGTGCCAGTCCTGGGCTAGATTCAAAGGCCGCTGTGGCCAGGGATTCGAATTAAGACCGACGGGGTGGCCATGCTGCAGTTGGGCCATGGTTGGGTGCTGGAAGCCTGCGAGACGCGCAAACGTCGCGGGACTTGGAGACACGCGCCATTTGCTGTAGTGGTATGCCAACCAACCAACTGCGAGGCATTCCGCGTCTCGTGGTTGAATGAGAGGTGCCCTAATATTTCCCGGTGCTTCATACGTAGAAGCCTCACTAGCGCTTACGAAAAACGGGATCGTTATTCGCGCCTGATCAGGATGTGGTCTGTGATCTCCATCTCCTGCAGCTAGATGGCAGGTCTACTCGGATAAATAAATTGGTCTATCAGGATGACGCGCGAGCGCTGTCGGTATCTTTCTCTAGATGCGGGTCTTCCTTCGTCATCCCACTCGACGAGTTCGAATTTCGTGCCTGTGGTTAGAGGAATCTTGGTACTGAATGAGCTCCTCTGTGAGCTGTCCGACTGAGCTGTTTATCTAGCTTGACTGACACCGTGAACCTAATTTCTGAGGCTGCCGTGTGTCCATGTCCGGTTGGTCGCAGTTGACGGGTAAATGTGGTGCGCTGATTCAGCGTCGCGATTCCTCTCCATAACTGGTCGACTCCTTATCTGCAGTCGGTAGCTGCTTACCTGCTTAGTTACTTTGTAGGTTTGAGGCTGAGTCCACCGAGATGATGCGGGGAATGGGGACTTATATAAATATCATAGGAACCTATCTTACACCTCAGTCTCGAACCTGATCTTCAATCGTTGACTACACCACCACCACCAGCATCATGTTGGACCCTCTTACATTAGCTATCGCCCCTTGCATATATCTCCTTTACTCGCTACTTAGCATAATACACACACTATATCTCCATCCCTTGCGACACATTCCTGGACCTAAATCATGGATAATCCTACCACTCTTCCGACACATTTCAGCAGTCCGAGGGCGATTAGATGCTGACATACATCGCTTTCATGAAGAGTATGGCCCTGTGGTACGCGTCACCCACAACGAAGTCTCTTTCATCACCACAGAAGCGTGGAACAAGATTTACGGACATGGCCACCGTGAACTACCAAAAGTAACCAGCTCCGCGGCCAACCCGAGGGACATAGTTAGCTCCAACACAGCAGACCACAATCGCTTCCGCAAAGCGCTATCACACGCCTTTTCCTCTAAGGGCTTACAGGCCCAGGAGCCTCTCATCAATAGCTACGTCGACAAATTAATCACTAGGTTAAGGGGTATCGCAGAGTCACAGCTCCCAGCTGATATGGTCAAGTGGTACAATCTGACCACCTTCGACATTATCGGTGATCTGGCTTTTGGAGAACCCTTTGGCGGTCTTGAAAACTCCCAGTATCACTATTGGGTTGCAACGGTCTTCCAGTTTATTAAGCTCTTACCGTTCATCAAGTTAAGGGATGCATACCCCACAATCTTCAAGCTTCTAGCCCTCGTTATGCCAAAATCACTCCTGAATGCACGGAAGCGCCAACAGGCACACACTAGGACAATTGTCCAGAAGAGACTCGACAATGCATCGAAGTATGATCGCGGAGACTTTATGGATTCAATGTTGCGAAATCACCACACAAATGATGGCCTAACTCACGAAGAGATCGTGGCCAATGCGAATGTGCTTATCATTGCTGGCAGTGAGACAACTGCCACACTGCTTTGCGGCATCACATACTGGCTGCTAAAGACACCCGACGCGCTTGAAAAAGTGACCACCGAAGTTCGTTCCACCATGAAGTCCGAGACCGATGTTACCGCCACCCTCGTTGCTGCGAAGCTTCCTTACCTGCAAGCCTGCATCGATGAAGCGTTTCGCATGTATCCTCCTGTTCCGACTGGGCTCACCCGCATGACTATTGAGCCGACAATTATTTCGGGCTATAAGATCCCTTCTGGCGTGAGTAAACTAGGATACCCTTGGAATAACACATCCACAATGAATACGGATTACTAATCTCTTTTCGCATATAGACCAAAGTCTACGTGCATCCGCTCGCTGCTTACAAGTCAGCTAGTAACTTTTATGCACCTGAACATTATCTTCCCGAGCGGTGGCTACCAGAAGCCAAAACAGACCCATCTTCACCATTCTTCTCTGATAACAGAGAAGTGCTCCAACCATTTTCTACTGGGCCGCGGAACTGCATCGGGAGAAACCTGGCTCTTGCTGAAATGCGACTCATTCTTTCCCGTTTGTTGTGGAACTTTGATCTGGAGCTTAGTGAGGAAAGTACACAATGGTCGGATCAGAAGACATTTACCTTGTGGGAGAAGCCTGCGCTGATGTGCAAGTTGTCCTTGAGGAGCTAGAATATGGGAGAACACTATTGGGCCTGGAATACATATATAGTCCTTATTTAATGATCTATCTCACTTACTGTATTGACGGTTCCGACAAACTAGAAATTGCTAAGCCCGAGTTGCTGGACTTACCCGTGCGGTACAGCTTATCTGGAGCTTGGGGCGTTTCTGTGTATGGTGTACTGCGATCCGGTCCGTGGAAGTAGAAGATGTCAAAGCAGTTTGATGCTAGCACCTTCGGAGTTTTATCTAGTTTTGCCTCTAGGACTTTATGACAGTGCATGCCAGGTCCAACGTGGTATCATTCGAAAGGCATTGAATGTCCACTAATCTCGGTGTCGATCCTCAGGACGTCGGGATACCGGATGGCAAACAGGTTCAGTCAAACCCGGATTTAAGACAGACCCTTCCGAAACTATTAAGACACATCTTAGATCTGAATGGAGGGTCTACCATGCATCCTAGGTTGTGTGGACTGGATAATGAATTAGCATTTTCGATCTACAAGTTTGCAGGCCAATCGAATCTGCGGGAAGAATAGAGAAGGTAGGTCCAGTTTCAATTCAACTCAATTCATGTTCTTATATCTGATTGAGCTGGTGTAGTTAGATGTTAGCTATATAGATACTTTATTATTTGAAGTAAAGAATATTGTCCTAAATATCTTCAGTGTCTTGAAAATTTTAGTAAATATATAAAATAATATAATGAAGGTGACCGCGTACACGGTCTGATCCAACTTGACGCCGGAACCGGGTCTCGTCAATCCCGAGCTTACACCACACGGAACTCGATTGCTTAAATCCGAGCTTGAGACCTTACAACCTGTCATCCAGCGGTCCGTGTGAGTGATTTCCAGCCAATAACGTACGGAAATGGAACGGGAGCTGCATTCTTGGTTTAAGCCTTTGTCTATATAACGCTCAACACTCCTGAAATTTTTCCTTTTTTTCCCTGCGGGTCTCGACTTTTATCTTGATTACATCTCCACGGCCATTGTCAGCGGATTTAAAAATTACGGACAACAAAGCGCATACACCGTCTACAATATGCACCTTATTCTTACAGGTGCAACAGGCTTGGTGGGCTCCTCGGTTCTCGATGCCATGCTAAAAAGTGCGGAGGTTGCCAAGATCACTATCCTTAGTCGCAGGCCTGTGCGAATGGCGGAGGATGTGAAAGATCCGCGAATCCAAGTCTTAATTCATGAAGATTTCCAATATTATGAGCCAGAGTTGCTCCAGAAGTTGAAAGATGCCGACGGATGCGTCTGGGCTTTAGGAACGAGCACAACAAATGTCGCAGAGGAGTATGTATTTGATCAATCTATACAACCGAAACATTATCAGGATTTAATAGCCTAGCAGTCAGTATGTCAAGATTACCAAGGACTATGCCCTCTCTGCGGCGAAAGCCTTTTCCACCCTCAAGTCCTCGAAGCCACCGTTTCGGTTCATCTATGTCTCCGGTGAAGGAGCTACACAGTCTCCTGGGCTATTTTCTCCGCTATTTGCCAGAGTAAAGGGCGAGACTGAAAAACTACTCAGTGACCTGTCAACCAAGAACCCACTACTTCGTGTCGATAGCGTGAGACCAGGCTTTTTTGACGCGGCAGCGCATGGTACCGTTCAATCGTATGTTCCTAACCATGCGGTCAGTGGACTTGGTGCCAGGATTGGAATCGCTTTGGCAGGGCCTCCTATACGGCATATTTTTACCGGGATGCACTGTCCAACCGAGCATCTAGGCAGATTTCTAACGGATATGGCTATGGGCAAGGTAGACGGGAAACTCGAAGGCACAGGAGTATCCAAACTAGGCAGTGGCTGGGTAGTACAGAACATAGGTTTACGACGGATATCAGGACTATGATTATGAAATGACTGGATCTTTTTCTTTTGATCCTCCATGTATGATAAGTAGATTTGAAACTCAATTGCCGTTACCAAATGATTTGGGCTTTTACAGACCTACGAGAAAGCCTGGGGCCTGAAAATACGCTTGATTCAAGTACCTTATAATATTTATATATTTCTTTTCAATATTGGTAGAAAAAGCTATTCTATAATCTTTATAAATATTATAGCATAACTAGATAAATTAAATCAGTCTCGAGTAATAATAGTTATAATCAGAAGAAACTTATCAAAGATTACTATCTCCACGGCGTTATATTGTGACTGAATTTCAAAAATCAAGTTCCTGGGCAAGTTTGTTTTATTGTTGCTAGCAAGTGGGTCCAATGAATCAGCGCTATAAGTACCGATGATCTGCGATTCACATATACGTAATTCTCCGGATCACAAAGTTGCTTTATAACCGGAGATTGAGGATCTGCTGGTGAGCTCGATACATTACTGTCAATCTGTCACCATGTATTAGATTACATATATATGCCTACTCTCTGGCACATTCGGCCGCCTACACTGTCTATAAACTTTCTCCCCAAATTTGCCTGCCTTTCTGTGTAGCGATTTCGATCCCAATCCTCCAAAGAGTACCAAATCACGATTGATCACACAACCTTCATCAACTTGCGACTTTGTGCCATTCGCAGAGCAACAAAGAATGCAATGCCCACGAAGATCACGAGTACCGCAAAGACTTGCATCCACCTATAGTTGGTTCCTTGGATCAAAGCACCACCAATCGGGTTACCTGTTAGACAGGCAAAGGCCGAGACAAAGTAGATCATGCCCACTCGGACACCGATCTCCCGGATGTCTGAAATCTTGGCAATACAGGCAGGTAGTAAAGAGATAAAAGAGCCAGACCCCCATCCAAATACGATACTGAATGCCATAGTCGTTCCAGGGGTATCAATAAACCAAAGCACGAATATTGAAACAATGACAATTGCGACATTGACGATGATCGTGTTGAAGCAGCCGTAACGGTCTCCGATGAATCCACACCCGACACGGGCTAGAAAACTGTTCACTGTTATTAGCGTTTCCGTTCACAAGCCAAGGGGGGGTGGGTTCGTTATATACCTCGCGGCATTCAGTGCGATAAGCTGGTAGTTTGAGAAGACCGGTGACATTCCCAGACTTTCCGCATAGACGATGATGTAGTTGATGGGAATGAATACACCCCAGAAAGTGAAGTAGGCAGCTAATGCCAGCAGGACAAATTTGACCTCCCTAAACGGGCGCACGAAGGACCGCAAAGACACTGGCGTCGGCTGATGCTTGAGATTCGAGGTGGTGGCGATGCTAGCGAACAAGAGGAGAATAAGAAACGTCAATGCGATAGCACGAATTGTCCAACCAAAGCTCAGTCCGTCGGCTATCAGGTAGTCGAACATGATCCTGTAGAAGACCAGTATTAGCCATTGGCAACTCTTAATGAGTGATGAATTTCCGGTACGTGTAGCAAGAAGAACATACGGTAGGATAACGCCGCCCAGCGATGAGCCGCTAGCCACAATACCAATGGCGAGAGCCTTCCTTCGTTTGAAGTAGGTACTAACAGCGTTCATTCCAGAATAAAATAGCGAGCAGGCACCAATTCCGGATAGAATACTCTGTGAGAGAAACATTTGGTAATATTCCGTACTCAGGCTTAGAAACACCAGGCCCAGAATGTGAGCGCAGGCGCCTAATATCACAGCGTAACGGGGCCCATAGTTGTCAAATATCTTTCCAAACACAGGAGCGAGGACAATCAACATAAAAAGATTAGCTGAAGGGATCCAGGACACCGCAGAGGATGAATATGAGGAGAGCTGGTGCTCTGAATAATAGGCTTGGAAAACGCCAATGCTGCTAGTCCAGCCAAAGGAACAAAAGTTGCAACACCAGGCACCCGCAACTGCTAGCCAAGCTCTGCGTCCTCCTTCTGGATACGTATATGCCAGAGGGGCTGGGGATGCATCGGACAAAGGGGAGTCAACCGGCTGGGGCCCGAGAATTGTTGGTCCGCGGCCACGATCTTTGTCATCAGGGAGTTTTTCCATTTTGAAATTATAGGAGGAAGACCCCCAGGGCTGGCAGAGGGGGGAAAGACTGAACTAATTGTAGTGTAGTTGTTACAACCGCCAGTTTGATGAACCGGAGCGTGTCTAAAGGAAGAAGAGCACACATATTACGCGATTATAAAGTAACTAGGTCCCCTAATTTTAGGAGCAGAGAGCGTCAGCTCTGACGGAAAGTGTACACTTAGTGAAATATCGAGTGTATACGTGACCGAATTTGAAGCCGCCCAGTAAAGCAGGTGCCCGGTTACCGATCACTGCTTGATAATCAGGGCCTCCGATCTGAGGATCGACCGGCGGACCGGCAAGTGGATCGGCAAGTGCTCAGACCGTCTCCTGTCAGCGCCGTCTCCACTTGACAGATCACCGCAAACCATGGAATCCACTATTCGAAGCTCTTTCGATCATCCTTGGGTGCAAATGGCCCGTCACCACAAGTATTGTCGAATGCTTATCATCTATCTAAGGATACGATCGAATTTCTACTCCATCCCATCCAGCGAGCTACCAAATAACTGGCGAATTTATAGGAAACCTATCCTATCTGGATAAGTTCGTCAAAAAACCCAGCGACGTCATACTATCTAGCCCGCAAAGCAGCCTAGGGGTTTCTATTTATTTACTACATGTCTCTTATTTGTACTTACAAATACAAACAATGATTAATGTCGTACCATTTGTTTCACGTCAATACTTTCTGTCTTGTTATACAACCAAGGACGGAGATGTACGATAGCCAAGTATGTCATGATCCTGATTTGTATGGTGCAATAAGAAGCTAATATGAGGTTGCAGCAAATAGTGCTATCATAGCCACACTTTTAGGGTCTAGAGGGGATTTCATTGGGCTGATGAGACTGTGGATCATAATTGAAGAAGATTATAGGCGTTTGTCTTAGCGGGGATTTTCTCTATCCAGAGCATCTGATTGATGGGGCAATTTAGTCTGCTGTCCGCCTGAATCACAGTCCGCCGCTCATCCTGCGGCTCTAATTTCCAGGGTTTCCCAGGCATCAGCCAAGAAGTCCAGAAA